AAAAAAAAATAAAATAAAAAAGCCAGGCATGGTGGTGCATGCCTGTAATCCCAGCACTTGGGAGGTTGGGGCAGGATAGCTGCAAGGTTGAGGCTAGACTGGGATACACAGTGAGTTCAAGGCCAGCCTGAATTGCATAGCGAGACCCTGTCTCAAAAAAACAAAACAACAAAAAATTCAAATGATAAAACCACTATACATTTACAGAATAGATCAATCTCTCTCTGAGATGGGGTCTTGCTATGTTGCCTAGGCTAGCCTTGTTTTCCTGGGCTCAGGTGAGTTTCCTGCCTCAGCCTCCCTAGTCACTAGGCCTATAGGCATGTAGGGTGCTAGGACACCACATCTGGCTTCACAATTCTTTTTCTTTCTTCTGTTCCCTGGTACTCGCAATTGGATCCAGGGACTCCCACAGGTTAGGCCTGTGCTCTGCCACTGAGCTACATCCTGTCATTTTAAAATTTTGAGAACGGGTTTTACTAAGTTGCCCAGAGTAGCCTCAAACTTGTGATCTTCCTGCCTTAGTATCCTGAGTGGCTCAATACACCATCATGCCCTGCACAGAAATCATCTTTAAAGCACTGCAGTATCCCTTTACCCTTCACCAGTAGGTGTATGGCTGCAACTGCAGAATAGTACTGAACCCTATATATACTGTTCTCCCTATATGTACATACCTATGACAAGGTTTAATGCACAGTAAGAGATTAGCAACAAAGACTAGTAATGTATGAGAACAATTACACAATAGTATTGTCATAATTGTTAACAAATATGGTCTCTCTTCTTTCGCCTGCCACGAGGCAGGTGACATACAGAGTGGGTACCCTGGACAAAAGGATGATTCACATCATGGATGGGATGGAGTAGGATGACACATTTCATGACACCATTTAGAACAGTGTACAACTTAAAACACACCATTAGGACTGCAGTTGCCTGTGGGTAAATGAACCTACAGTGAATGAAAGCATAGGGCAAGAGGTCACCCTAACAGCCTGTCACACTCTCGGCCTCACTGTGGCCCTGTAGGGTGGGTGGGGCATACCTTGAAAGCTTTGTTGGTGTCTGCAGGCATGGCCACAGCAGCTCCAGTCATCTGCTCCTGCATCATTCGGGACTGGTCAGCAGCTGCAGATGAAACATGGCTTTGTGAGTGCCAGGCCAGCAAACGGCAGTGCCTGCACCCAACAGCACGCACAGCTGCCTGGAGGCCCACTGACTGGGCCTGTCCGTCCCCTGGTTATGTGACTCTGGGTAAGTCGCTTCACCTATCTTGAAAAATGGGGGTGATCACAGCTGGATGAGAGGCAACTAAAGGAAGCTCTGAACTTTATTTCAAATTTCAACAACAGTAACAACAGCCACCAGGTATTGAGGAACTACTATATGCAGGTGCTGCAGGAAGTCTATGTACAGTCTATCTCACCTGCTCTAAACAGTCCCATAGAAGAGCAAACACAGGAACAAAGTGGTCAGTGGGACCGAGGTCCCTGCCATTAAGGCGTAGTACTGGCCAGACTCTCTCAGTAAACTAACTGACTTGACTGGGCCTTCTTCAGACTTCAGGCTTAGGGGCTGGGCTGACACTGCTGGTGCAGAGCTCTCGATGAAGGTGGCCCACTTTGGGCAGTCAAATATTGTACTGTCCCAGTGACTGCTGGAGAAAATTCAAATCCTAAGTTTGAGTCTTGGAATTTTTATGACACTTTCCATAAACTTCAGAAACTTAAGGAAGAAAATAGTGTGTTTGACTATTCTAACAGACAGCATGAACTACATGATTTTTCTTGCTCTAGTATGGATGATTCAACTATTTTAGTATTTGGTTATTATAGCAGATATTCTTACCATTATCCTGGCCCAGAATCAGAGAGTAAATGCTCCGGAGCCCAAATACATTGAGAAAGTACCAGGATGCAGAACTCACCCTAGCAAACCAAAAGTCAAAGTGTTGGTAGTTAGTTCGTGTATTAATGTAATTTGCACTTTTGAATCACTCAAAGTTGTTTGGCATTGGGTATGTTCAGCCAATATCCAGCCAAAGAGATAGCAGCTGTTAAGAGCCTAGGGTCATGGATTTAGCTCATTGGTTCTACCACCTGCCTCGCAAGTGCAAGGTCCCGAGTTTGATTCCCGGGAGCAACAAAACAAAACAAAACAAAAAAAGTCTTACCACTACAAAAATATATTACATAGGGCTGGGGATTTAGCTCAGTGGTTCTGCCGCCTGCCTCGGAAGCACAAGGTCCCAAGTTCGATTCCCGGTACCCCCCCCAT